AAAAAGTAAAGTGGAAGAACTGGAGAAAACTATAGGGGAGCGTTTGATTGCAATTACGCAGATGTATGAGGCGGAGACTCTTAGTGGAGTGAAAAATCGGCTTTTTGGAACCATACAGTACCACTCTTGAGGGAATTCGTGGATAGATCTAATCAAGGCAAATTGGTGTCACCACTGGTAGCGAGGAGACGGACACTTGAGGCTAGTATGTCTGTATTGTATCATGTTAAAGGGACCGAGCAGATGGATGTCCTCACGGGCCTGCTCAAGACTTTTTCAGATAGTATTGCTCTTTCTGCTGGGGAGATCACCAGGTCCGCATATAGTGGCTCTACTGCTGGTTCGCCGCCCGATGGAGACCTACAGTCGTATAGGGGTATTGGAGCAATGGCTGCGCAGGGGCAGGTCGCGGTACTGAAGGCTATGCGTGACCGACAAGCATCGTCATCAAGTGGACTCCCTATTGGTATCTCTATGGAGCAGCTGAGTATGCTTGCTGGTCACCTTACTACAGTGTTGTCCACAATACCAGCACTGGCGCACACTGAGAAGATCTCAGCAACGGTGGTCTTAGACGCCTTGGACCTAATCTCGCAGTGTGTTCCGTTGACTGAGACTATCATTGACCTGGTGGAGGGACTCAGCGATGAGTCTGCTAGTGTATGGCATGCTGTGAAGAAGTGTGCTGTGAATTTGTCGAACATTCTCGTTTTTGGCAAAGTCGATTTGGCGAGAATTTTGAGCGGAGCGACGCAGGCGTGTATGGCGAAAGCTGTCGAGTTTCTCGCCCTTGCACACTACAGGGCAGTGACATTCATAATCGCCAATAATGAATCAGCTGCTGCTGCTGCGATTAAGGGGAGTGATCGAAAGCCTTCTTGGAACTGGATGCACTGTGACTTTCCTGGTTGCCCAGGCAGGTTGGTTGGAAGCTTCATGTTCCTTTTCTCTCAACACAAGGGCCCTCGTGGTGGTATGGACGACGCCGTGAGCTATAAATGGGATCTACTGGGTCTGTTCAAGAGGTTCCTCCTCCTACACGGACAGAACTGTGTGGGTGAGCTGAGCGATAATCTGGATGATATACTCGATGAAAAAGGGTTGATGGGGATAACCACGGGGGTATCTCAGGACGTATGTGACATGTCCGCTAGGGATTACCTCAGAGCTATGATACTATCAGTTCAGTCGGATGTATTACTAGTTCTGCGGTCTAGGTTGTCTATACAGCAGACGGCCAAGGCGGTTAACCTCTTCTGTGGTTATCTATTGGATGATACTCGGTCCTTCGCTAGCCGGACTGCCTCGATAAGTCTATTGCTTAGTCTGGCCGATCAGCTCATTAACAAGCCCAGTGAAGACTCTAAGCAGTCTGAGCAGTCGAGTAACGGATCACAGCAAGGAACCCCTACAGCAGCCGCTGCCCCAGCGCCTGATCGACGCGGCAAGCCCTTCACTGATATATTGATGCAACTGTCTATTACGGTTACAGTCAGCTTTGAGAGACTCACTGGTGAAATCGCTCAGCTGATCGATGCCATGGTCCTGGCTGGGGAAGGCATTTACCTTGTGGATGAGGAGAATGTTGCGAGGAGGTCTGAGATTCCCCCGATACTTGAGCGCTGGGCGGAAAGAGCGCGGCATACCGTGAACAGTGTATGGGCTATCTCTAAGGTGACACGGCTGATGACTCCGCAATGTGATTGGTCGGCCTGTGCTCTTCCGAAAGAAGAGATTGCGGTTACCATGAATGTTGGGTGTAGTACTACTGGACCGCTGCCTGTAATTCCTTTGACTACGATAGTCACAGGTGTTGGCCAGCTGCGTGAGTTGGCTAGAGCTCTTATCAGTCTGTCTAAACCGATTCAGTGGTCGCTAGCTAATAAGTGTTCCCCTAGTATAGCGAGGTCGAGAGAGTGTCTCGACCTGTTGGATAGATACCTGGTTGGTGGTATGAAAATGTGCCATTTGGTGGCGGTCGCGACTTCAGTACAGCACTTGGCAACATCGATGAGTTTGCATAGGAGGAAGCCAGGTGCTGATAGTCTACTGAAGATGGGCGATGAGAAGGTCTTTACAGCGGAGGGAATGTTTGGTATGATGGTCCAAAGCAGCAATGCGGAGGAGCAGTCACTTCTGGATGCATTTGGTGGTGTTTTCCAACACCTTAGTGAGGCATCCTTCACCGACCTGTTTGCCTTCCGATTCAGCTGGCTCCTTAGGGTGGTTTCTGTGAACAACATTGCATTGGTACTCACTCAACAATTTATGTCGCAGGCTCATACAAGCCCTGCTTTTACTGAGATACTCGTGGCCTTGTCAGTGCATCGCATCGAAGACATATTCGCCTCTAATGATAAGGAGCCGGAGGCGGCTGTGAAGAGAGGAGTGCCTCGGCAGTGGTTCAACCCTAAATATCAAGTGGTTGACAGAGCCATTGACAATCGGGATGGCTCGGTGGTTGCCAGACCTGAAGGGCCTGTTGGACAGACGAGGCTGGACCGGTTTGTGGCCTCCCAGGAGCCCTTTGGGGGCCTTCTGGGTGGTGATGTTGTCTCACAACCATGCGAGTTGGCCTATCAGGGTGGTAATGATCCTGACGACCCCTACATCCAATGTGTGAAGTTTTATGGTATGAGGGAGAACTGCGATGGTATGCCCAACGCCTGTGTCACTTTCGACAGTGGAAGTGTTCTGCTGAGACTTTATAAGTGGGTTATGAAGTGTGTCGCGCACTTCTCGGCTAGTGGTGGGCCGACCATGGCACCACAGATAGTAGATGTGGTTACTGAGTGCCTTCAGCTAGCTCAGTCGACGTTGGCTGGCGAACCCAATAACGTCATTGGGATAGTCAAGACTGCTTTCCGAGCAATCACTAAGGGAGGGAATCTCTATGACATACCAGAATTACATGAGCTTGTTGATCCTATCATCGACTATGTCACTCAGCTCACGGCTATTCCGG